CGTTTTCTAGTAAGCTCGATAACCATTTACCCTACTCTGAGAACTGTCTTCTGCTTCTATCACCTTAAGATGAACCATCTGACATCCATTTTTATGTGACCAGTCTGCTCCATATTACCCCCATAAATGACTGCACTGGGTTTGCACATGTGACTTAAGTTGACCCAAAGAGAACAGGTTGGAAGAGAGGAATGGGGGGGGGGGGCCACAGGACAAAAAGCACCGAGAGACCAGTTGAGTTTCTACTCTTCTGGGGCCCGGGTGTTCATTTTCTCCCCTTCGATTCCATTCCACTAGAGGGCAGTATCCTCCCAAATACAATCCCTTTTTGTCTTAGGCTACATTGAAGAGGGTTTTGTATTTCAAACCAAAAGAAACTAAAGATAAGAACTATCAAAAAAGCATCTATTTCAATTGACAAACTTTAATTCAACAAAATATATTTTTAAAAGTTTTTTAGGTAGACTCATTTGATTCTGCTGTGATTAACTTTGATGTCGTTTTTACAAGCATTTACACTCTAGATATTTATATGTTCTTCTACACTTTTATGAAGAGTTTTCTCTCCACTCTGTGACAACTCTAAATAGAAGAGTTAAAATGTTTCACACAGATGCAGAAGTACAAGAAAATGATATGAATCTTATATGACTGATATACTGATACGATGCAAATTTCACTCGGCTCCTATGGTGACACAACAGCTCCTGCGCCCTTTCCATGATGAGGGGAAGGAAGGGTCACGTGAGAAGATGGCCCCTGTCATTACCAGTCAGTCACTGATTTAACAAGTATTTATTAGTGTGCACATACTAAGTACTGTCTTAAGAGCAGGAAATGCAACACAGAGAAAAACCCTATTTGGACTTATAAAAAAATTTTCAAAATATTAAGGGGCATAAATGTTTTTGCTACATGAATGTACTTTTTATAATGCTTAACACGGGGCTTTTAAGTGTGCCCATCACCGGAACAGTGTTTGTTGTATCCGATAGGTAGATTTTTACCACTCCCCTCCTCCCACCTCACCCCCTCTTGATTTCCTATGACCTTTACATCTTTATTTGAACTTTCAAGGAAATTATGATTTAGTAAAGAACATAAATAACAATGAAGTGTTATGAATCCTGTGACCAGGATAAAATGAAATTCCCATGACAGGTACAGGGTTCTGTGGGAATCAGGTAAGAATAATGGAGACACCTTAACAAGTCAGGAGAAACCTTCCAGGTGTTGAGGCTGAGACCTTCAGGGCCTCAACAAATTCAACAAAGGTATTCCAGACAGAGGAACCACACCTGCAAAGCCTTAGACATGAGAAATAAGATTGTAGAAACTTCAGTTCAGTGGTTTAAACATGGCTGGAGGGCAGAGCATAAGAGTGGGGCATGGCAGGAAGTGAGACAGAGAGATAAATGGACGCCCTGAATACCATGTTAAGGTGTCTGCAGTTTGTCTAGGGTGCCACAGAATCATATGCTTTGATCCATCAGTATCCCCTTCAGTTTGTCTAGGGCAGTGGAAGCCACAGAATCATATGCTTTGATCCATCAATATCCCCTCTAGGAATTTCACCTGAGGAGACATACATGTTTTCCAAAGGAATATATGAGAATATTTCATGCTTAAGTTTTATAATAGACCAAAATTGCAGGTATCCTAAATATCTATCAATAGACTAGTAACTAAATTGTACTTCCATGAGCTAGAACACTATATAGCCCTTACTAACATAAATATAGACCTATTACACTGAATGATTATATATTTACATGAAAGGTATTACAAAACAGCAAGCATAATTTTATCTTTTATACACACACACGTATGTACATGTGTAATGCTCTCGCCAAGGTTTCCAATGACCTCTTAGAGAGGTTAAGTCCACTCTAACCATTTAATAAAATCATTTTAAAGTCTGGGAGAATACATGCCAAACCCTTAACAATGATTATTGTGGGTGATGGTTCATAGGTGATTATTTTTTTACCATATACTTTTCATGTTGTATGAATTTTGTTAAAAAAAATTTTTTTTAAATCAAAATAAATAAATAAATAAAAATTACCTGTAATACCAGTTGCTGGGGTTGAGAAATGCATTGTGGAATTCAAACAACAGAGGCTGTTCTGGCAATGCTAACTGCTTTGCCACTTTTTTTTTTTTTTTTTCCCATTGAGATTAGAATGTGTGTATCTGAATTTGGTTTTGGAAGAAGGATCAAGTGTAATTATGATGTGAAATTACCAACTAATTAATAAGGTGTGGAAAAAGTTTATACCTTAGGATGATTTCTCTTACTTCTACCATGGCCAGTCATCAATCCTTATTTATTAGAGAGCACTTTGTAGGTAATTTGAAATAACCTCCAGTGTGTCCAGTTTCTGTGTTTGTGATTGCCATAGAGAGTTGAGTGATTTATCAGAGGCATACAGTGAGCTAGTAGCAAACTAGGAATCACAGGTTGGTCATTTCTTCTAATGTATGGCAGGTGTCAAAAATAGGAACGTGGAACTCTTCTATATAACTTGGGTGCTGGTAAGCAGGACTAATATCCACCTTACGAACTGAGATATCATACATTCTTTTATTGCAAATAATAGGTGGATTTGAAAGAACATTATTTAACCCTTACTGTATTGCAGTTCATGTGATAAAAAGCCATTCATTATCCAGGTTCTATTTTGCAAGATTTCTAGGGCTTCATTTCTATTCTAGAAAAAATAGGCTGAGCATGGGGGCTCATGCCTTTAATCTTAGACTTTGGGAGGCCAAGGCGGGAGAATCGCTTGAGCC